AAATGTCCGGATACTACAGATTATATGAACTCTCAAAAGAAAAAGAAAAACTGATCCTAAGAAAACGGATGATACTTTTAAATTTCATTTTTCTTGTTGAAAAATGATACATCTACACTTTGTGGGTACAATTTCTAAAGTTCATATCAACAAACTTTTCATAATATATTAGTTTTTCATTAAAATGTGGAATCGTTACTAGGATAAAGTTAATAGTGGATGGGATCCTTACCAAACTCTTATAAATATTACAGCTATAAATTAAATGAATACAAGGAAATTTACTGTTAATTTATCAATTAAAAAAAATGTATTACCATCCAAAGTGAGAGAGGTGTCTTGTACAGAATGTCTTCCTACAGTCTTTTTTTTTTCAAATATAGCGTCATAAATATATTGTTTGTGACACGATCGTGTGCAAAAGCATCGAGCCGCTTGTATATTGTAACATATTTCTACGCTGCTGATATAAAATCAGTTTTATTTGCTATGTAGAATTGTGAAATAGTCTAAATTAACAAGTTTATATATGAACATATACATGTATATAATTATTATGATACGAAGCAACGAAATTAAGCAGTGAACACCCTGCAAATAAATGTACTAAGGCAAGTAGAATTATAATAACAATATGCATAGACTTACCTTTTTTTAATCTATGGACTGCATCTATATACGTATACAATATACATTATTGTATAGATAATTTTTGCCACCTGTATATAGTTATTTCTGACTCCCGTCCACCACTAGGGCCGAGGGTCGAGAGTGCACTTGCCACGGCCCGGGGCGCATGTTACCGCAGGAAGACCGTTATGGAGCTTCATGGCCCCAGGTCGTGCTCTGATATTTCATATCGCTTGTCTAAAAATTGTGACAGTCTAATGTTATATAACTGGCACTTTGAAGAAACTAACTAGATTTAAGAAAAAAGATTAGGCATGTTTAGATTTAGTCCAAGATCACATTCGACTAAAGGGAAGTAAATGCCTAAAAATATGTTAGGTGAATTATATTGTTTACCCCTCTTTCCGTCCCACGAGAAATTTTGACATTTTCTTTCTTTTTAAAGAGTTTTAGCATTTGCACACAAATTTAAGCTAAAGTTAGAATTAAGATAAGATAATAATACAACTATTTTAACTACATGTACGTGTATTTGGTACAGCCTCTTCAATTTCAGAAATTGTATAAAAATAAATTCTAAATGTAATATAATATGATCAAATTACATAAGCCGTCATCATTATGAATATTGCTATAAAGTTTTGAAATGTTTCACTTACACATTTTGTATATATTTTTGTTATAATTTAAAAATAAGGTAATGTATACTGTCGATAAGCACAATGTGTAATCAGAAAACAAATGTTTGCAAAACATGTTTAATAAAAAAAAACACTCAATGTTCATGGGGAAATCTAACATGTAAACTGAAACCGCAGTTTAATTATCAAAGTACCATGGCAACCAACAAAACAAGAGCCGGTTTGAAACGGGTGATGCTCCCCGAATAGGTATTGAATACAGTAAAGTACACCTCTTGTAGTCCCAGACAAAGTTCAAAGTGCAATAAATTAAGCAAGGCAGAGTTACTGTTCTTTGCACTGCACTTCTACTCCATGAGATCTTCCAGTTTCTTGTTGATACCTCTTGTAGATTCACAGTAATGTCCTGAACAAAGTTCACAGTGTAAAATTGAAACAAGGCAATAACTCCAAAAATTGCCAAGACAGAGTTAAGGTTCTTTTGTACAACATATCTACGCAATGAGATATATCTACCTACACAGTTTTATGTTAATTTCTCTTATAGTTTTAGAGTTATGTCCCGGACAAAGTTCGTAGCGAAAAAATAAAAAAAGGCAATAACTCCAAAAATAGGCAAGACAGAGTTCCTGTTATTTTGCACTGCTAATCTACTCAATGAGATCTATCTACCTACAAAGTTTCTTGTTCATATCTATTATACTGTGAGAGCTAGTTCAAAGTGTAAAAATGAACAAAAGGCAATATCTCCAAAATTAAGGGAGGCAGAGTTACGGTTCTTTTGCACTGCACTTCTATTTACTAGATCTATCTAACTACAAAGTTTCTTGTTGATACCTCTTATGGTTCAGAGCTATGTCCCGGACAAAGTTCTAAGTGAAATATGAACAAAGGACAAAAAATCTAAATTAGGCAATGCACAGTTATGGTTCTTCTGCACTGCACTTCTACCTAATGAGATCTTTCTACCAACAAAATTTCATGTTGATATCTCTAATAGTATTAGAGTTATGTCCCGGACAAAGTTTAAAGTGTAAAAATGAACAAATGGCAATTATTCCAAAATTAGACAAGGCAGAGTTACATTTATTTCGCATTGCACTTCTTTTGAATGAGATCTATCTATCTACAATTTTTCTTGTTGATACCTCTCAGAGCTATGTCCCGGACAATTTTACAGTGCAAAACTGAAAAAGGGCAATAACTCCAAAATAGGCAAAGCAGAGTTAATGTTCTTTTGTACAATATAACTACGCAGTGAGATTTATCTACCTACAACGTGTTATGTTAATATCTCTTAAAGATTCAAAGTTATGTCCAAAAAATCCAAAATTTGGGAAAGCAGAGTAAAGGTTCTTTTGCACTGCACTTATACCCAATGAGATCTTTCTACCTACAAAGTTTCATGTTGACATCTCTTAAAGTGTTAGAGTTATGTCCCGGACAAAGTTCAAAGTGTAAAAATGAACAAAGGGCAATAACTCTAAAATAAGGCAAGACAGAGTTACATTTATTTTGCACTGCACTTCTATTTAATAAGATCTATCTATCAACAAAATTCTTGTTGATACCTCTTATGGTTTCAGAGCTATGTCCCGGACAAAGTTCAAAGTGAAAATATGAACGAAGGACTAATAATCTAAATTAGTAAAGGCAGAGTTATGGTTCTTTTGCACTGCACTTCTACCTTATGATATCTATCTATCTACAAAGTTTCATGTTGATATTCACAGTAATGTCCTGAACAAAGTTCACAGTGTAAAATTGAAACAAGGCAATAACTCCAAAAATTGCCAAGACAGAGTTAATGTTCTTTTGAACAACATATATACGCAATGAGATATATCTACCTACAAAGTTTTATGTTAAAGTTTCAGAGTTATGTCCCGGACAAAGTTCGTAGCGAAAAAATAAAAAAGGCAATAACTCCAAAAATAGGCAAGACAGAGTTCCTGTTATTTTGCACTGCTCATCTACTCAATGAGATCTATCTACCTACAAAGTTTCTTGTTCATATCTATTATACTGTGAGAGCTAGTTCAAAGTGTAAAAATGAACAAAAGGCAATATCTCCAAAATTAAGGGAGGCAGAGTTACGGTTCTTTTGCACTGCACTTCTATTTACTAGATCTATCTAACTACAAAGTTTTTTGTTGATACCTCTTATGGTTTGGTTTATACAAATTTATTTTAGTTCGATTGTGTTGGAAGCTATAAGCTTATTGAAACACTCTCGAATCCGTTCCTGGAACCAACCAGTACTAAGCAATGAATGTAAAGTTTCTTGCTCAAGGAAACAACGGCTTGCCCCTGACAGGGTTTGAACCCACGCGGTCAGCAATCCTTAGATTACTAGTCCAACGCGTTAACCACTCGGCCACGCCGCCTCTTATGGTTCAGAGCTATGTCCCGGACAAAGTTCTAAGTGAAATATGAACAAAGGACAAAAAAATCTAAATTAGGCAATGCACAGTTATGGTTCTTCTGCACTGCACTTCTACCTAATGAGATCTTTCTACCAACAAAATTTCATGTTGATATCTCTAATAGTATTAGAGTTATGTCCCGGACAAAGTTTAAAGTGTAAAAATGAACAAATGGCAATTATTCCAAAATTAGGCAAGGCAGAGTTACGTTTATTTCGCATTGCACTTCTTTTGAATGAGATCTATCTATCTACAATTTTTCTTGTTGATACCTCTCAGAGCTATGTCCCGGACAATTTTACAGTGCAAAACTGAAAAAGGGCAATAACTCAAAAATAGGCAAAGCAGAGTTAATGTTCTTTTGTACAATATAACTACGCACTGAGATATATCTACCTACAACGTGTTATGTTAATATCTCTTATAGATTCAAAGTTATGTCCAAAAACTCCAAAATTAGGGAAAGCAGAGTAGATGTTCGATATCTTTTGCACTGCACTTATACCCAATGAGATCTTTCTACCTACAAAGTTTCATGTTGAAATCTCTTAAAGTATTAGAGTTATGTCCCGGACAAAGTTCAAAGTGTAAAAATGAACAAAGGGTAATAACTCTAAAATAAGGCAAGACAGAGTTACATTTATTTTGCACTGCACTTCTATTTAATAAGATCTATCTATCAACAAAATTCTTGTTGATACTTCTTATGGTTTCAAAGCAATGTCCCGGACAAAGTTCAAAGTGAAAATATGAACGAAGGACTAATAATCTAAATTAGTAAAGGCAGAGTTATGGTTCTTTTGCACTGCACTTCTACCTTATGATATCTATCTACCTACAAAGTTTCATGTTGATATCTTTGATAGTAATTAGAGTTATGTCCCGGACAAAAAATGAACAAAGGGCAATTACTCCAAAATTAGGCAAGGCAGAGTTACGTTTCCTTTGCACTGCACTTCTATTTGATGAGACCTATCTACATTGATACCTCTTATGGTTTCAGAGCTATGTTCCGGACAAAGTTAAACAAGCTAGTGCTTTCAGGTTATGCTCCGGACAAGATTCTTCTAAAAGGGGTGATAATTCAAAAGTTATTATGTCCAACGGTTTTCATACTCAGTTAAGTCAAGTTGAATGCTTGTCCAAAATAAGGATTGTTGTGTCCAAGTATGATGACAATTCATACCATAAATATCATCAAAATTCTTTCTTTCCTAGGAACATACGTCTTTTGGGGAGCATAAAAATATCATAAACTGTGTTCAAACTTTTTCGCACTGATTCGGTTAACTAACCTAGATGGGAAAAGTAAGCACAATACGAAACGTGTTTACAAAATGGCCGACATTAGTCAAAGTTTGAAAGACTACATGTCAAAAAGTCAATCTAAAGAGCCTTTACTCGGAGATGAATCGTCAAGTGGTGGATTTAGTTTTGGAAAGTTAAATCCATTCAAAAAATCAGAATCTAAAGCTAATGATGATCCAAATGAAGTAGCCAACTCTTGGTTTTCACAGGCACAAAAAGATCCACTATGTCCCGGATTAGTGAGCATTATTATAATTTTGGCGTGTCATAATCGTTATTATTCATCTTGAATTGTATTTCCCAAAAACTGTAACGCCTTTATAAATCAGAAAAAATGTGACATGAAATTCTTTTTTTTTTAAGTGTATATTAATTCGGATAAATTTTTTTGACTAAATTTTATTACATGCTTTTCGGTGGTTTATAGAAATATATCAGTGATATAAAACTGGTAATTCCACTGTTTGAAACAGTGAAATTACCACTTTGAATTTCACTGTTTTGAATTTAAGCCCCTTACGTTGTTTCAATGAAATACCAGCATCCACAGGGTAGTCCGACTATTCTCTCCCTTACCAGTTCCTGCCCTGACGTTTCCTCCCTGACGGTTCTCTCCCTATTTTGGGGGAGAACCGTCTGCATATTTGCAAATAAGCAGACAGTTCCTCCCCATCATTATTTTTATTAATACATTATTATTGAAGTATTTAGATGTTTAATAAATGGATAAGTTTATTGTTAAATTATAATATTAATTGAAATTTATAAGAAAAAGAAAGATTTATAAATTTTAATTGCTAAATATCATACTTTTGTATAATGAAGGAAGGAGATCAATACACATGTGCGTTTATGTTTGCTGTCAGAGATAATTAAGGTGTTTATTAATTCATTATTTAAGAATCAAGGTGTAATCTAATGATTAAAATAACTGTGAAAAGGTGTTGATAAACAAATATTTTTATTAGTTATTTGGTAATATATATTGTTTCATGTTAATGACTACATGTTCTTTAATCAATTTTGTATAAAAGTAAATGTGAAATGTGATTGCATACCAGTTGTTGCTTATTAATTTTCTATAACATACTTGTTACCACCTTTTTCGCTATTTAACAAATGAATGAATATCACTAGAGTAGACCTTCACATAATTACAGGTGTATGTATATCAATTACTGTCCATTAATCATAACCTCTCACAATGAAGGTGTTAATAGGATTAAAATATCTGAAAAAGGTGTTAAATTTACAAACACTTTTCAGAATCAAATAAACATAAATTGCACTTTACTTAATATCAAATACATTCTTTTAAGAAATATTATTAGATTAAGACAAAACTAAAATGATAACTAACAAATAAAAATTGGGGGAGAACTGTCTGCATATTTCAAATTTGGGAGAGAACTGTCAGGGGAGGAAACGGTTTGGGAGAGAACCGTCAGGGAGAGGAACTGGTAAGGGAGAGAATAGTCTGTAATTCATGCACAGTACGATTTCAGGACTTTACACCTCCTGGACGTTTTGGCTACTTTTTTTTTTATAGCGAGCTCGACAAGCTGGCCCGAAGGGCTTGCTTGCAAAGCGAGCTTAACGGTAACGCAAGTACCTGCTAAGTGATGGTTTTGAAAACTTTCGTCAGAAGTACCGAATTGGACACATCGCAACTTTTCGAATTTAAAGATAAGGATAAAAACTGAGGAATTCTGACTGAAAACGGATGTGTAGACTGGTCACTCGCGCACGTCTATGGGAACCATAATTGGACAGGGAACCAGAATAACGGAAGCTGTGTATAAAATATCGAATGACAGTTTTAAAACGGAAAATGTAAAATGAAAATTAAAGGCGCCATTTTGTTTGAAAAATCTGATAAATAAAAACATTTTTTTGTCGAATTTTGTTGTGAAAACTATCTAGAATGAAAGAAAATGGTCTAACTAAGAAAATGAATCCGAACACCAATATCTTTTATTCAGTCGTTAACGCTGTACAGACGTTTAAAGTATTGTTTACGTGACGTCACAATGTAGCGCCAAACAACACGTGCAAAACAATCAAATCAAGTACGCTATTTTAATGTCGCAAACTTTTTAAGTTTTTCATTTATTTCACTTTAAATAATCTTTATTTCGCTTGAAAAATTATAGAGTGAAATAAAATAAACAAACAAAGTCAACGTTTTCAAAACTCGTTATTCATTTAAAACACAATACGTGTGACATCACACGCACTTGTCACTGCATTTGAAATAAAAATGAGCGATTATTTCATACTATTTCACGTTAAAAGTACATCGAGCTCGCTTTGAGGCTTTGCCTTTTTCATATTAAATAATATTGTATACTGTATGGATTAATATCAGTAAACTTGTTTGATATACCTTAGTTGTTGCACCTTAATTGGATTATATTGAGTGATAATTGAGATAACTCAATATCATATAAATTTGCATGATAGACATTGAGAGAATATTTGTTTTTTGAAATGTATAATAAAGAAATTTTATTTAAAAAATGACATTCTTGTTCAAATAAAATTTACCAAATATGTATCAATGTATGAAAAACATAAAAACAAAATGATCAGATTTACTAAATTTTATTCAGAGTCAATTACTATATCTACAAAGACTACAATGTATGCACTATACAATAACATAACATTAAAATAAACACTGTTATTTTCATCATATAATTTTATTTCCTATTTTATAAAAAATAATAAGAAAATAAAAATGGTATCATATTTTATTCTAAATATTCAACTATCATTTTGTCATCTTCATTTTTTGTCATTTTTATTCATTAAGATTAATCTATTACAAAAACTTGCTGAAAATGCTTTAAAAAATCAAGTTAGAATGAGTTTATTACCAATTATTTCAAATAAAATACTTTAATAGAAAAATACTCACTTGTAAAAAAAAAGTTAAAATATTAAAAATCATGTAAGTAAATCAAATTAAATGTACTAACATTGAATTTTCTTTTATATAATACTGTGTGTATATAATACAAAATATTAAAAATCTATAATAATATAAAACATTTCGGACTAATCACTATGATTACTATAATACAATATGTACACTGTACACTTTCACCAGTTCAACCTTGCAAACTATTAAAATTGCTATATGTACATCTTAAAGTTTATAATAAAATCACAAATTTGTTACACAGAGCTATTAGTTACATACTTCTAAACCAGTGTTTATAATGCTTTATTCAAAATTCTTTCACACTTCTAATGGTTCTTATCTGTTATATAAAAACATATTTCAATTAATCAATATTTTTTATGGTATTTAATTTTTGGATAACAAAAAAAATAATGAAATAATATATACATGTAGACTTATAGCTGATAATTCTTTCAGAACTCATATTTATAATTATTTTCCCAGGGAAATTTCACTATATTTATGTCCAAAAAATCTTCTTTATATCATGAACGTAATTGTTTGCAAGTATGTGTTATATTATATATAATATTACAACCCATTATGGTATTTATTTCATATATTTATCAAATTTAAAAAGTGGAGGTGAAAAGACCAGGGTTTTGAGGGTGAAACGTCCAGGGGTGAAACATCCAGGAGATGTAAAGTCCAAACACCCACAGTACTAAGGTACCAACTGTATTATCATTTGGTGCGCTTTTCATTCAGTATTGGGTTTAATGTCTTTTTAAAACGTTTCTTTGCATATAATAAAAAGAAAATTTGTTTAGTTTAGTGTAAGATCGAAATATATTTCACCTTGTGAACACCAAAAGTTCATATTTCATTCGTGGCTGCGCCACACATGAAATATACCTTTTGGTGCTCACTCGGTGAAATATATTCCGATCTTACACTGAACTAAACAAATATCCTCTATGTAAATTATGCCACGCTTATATTGGTATTTTAAAGAGATGATTGTAAATTTATAAAAGTTAAAAACATATTATAATGAAAGGAAAATAGAATTACACAATAAATTTTTCAATGTCTGGTATTATTAAAAGAGGTTGTTCTTTCTTTCTTTAAATCCTTCTGGCATCAAATTGATTTATAAATATTATTTTTCACAGTTATATTGAAGAGTAGACTGTTGACAGCTACTTCCTAGCCCCCTCAATATGTTTTAGCTGAAGAAAAAATGAGCTACTCACTGCCACAGCCATGACCAAGTCATCCAAAAAAAATTAACTGGCCATTTTGTATTTTTTTCTTCTTACTTGGACACAAAATCCCTTCTGACAAGATTTTAAATAGGTCAGACTGAATCTGTCCTTGTCTCATAAATGACATTGATGTTCAATGTCAAATGCTTAAATTTTGCTTAAATACATAATTATTCATTATTGACTACGACTTTATTATTTACATCTACATGATACTGCTGTTGAGCATTGCCAGTGGCTCTTGTTACTCTGTTAGTTTTATTTCTGAGTGTAATCTCTTAAATTATCAGTCAACCATTATTGTACAAAAGTCAGAATATGCCTACAGACATATATTAAATTTAGAAATGTTTGCAATATTTGCAAAAAGATCGAAATGGAAGGAACCAAACCAAAACTTTTTGGCTTTAATCTGCAATGTCAAAATATATATTTTAAGCAAACTGATACATGTATATAATTTATTTCAGACAAAGAAGCAACGTATTCTTGGTTTTGTGGTTTGTCTGCTGATGGGTACTTTCTGTTTCTGTCTAGTAAGTTATTTGTTTGTTTGATTTTGTTTTACGTCACACAAACACAGTATAGGTATGCTCCATCTTTATTGGCCAAGGAAGAACTCAGAAGCCCTTCTGTGCATTTTTTCAGGAACGAACAGGCACCTGAGTAACACCACCAACATTTTGTTAGCTAGCTAGATAGCTAAGCTTTGTCACATGAAATAATCCAAAGTCCCTGTCAGGATTTGAACCCACAGCGGTGAGGGACAAGGGTTTTGAAGGCAACAACCTTAACCACTCGGAGAAATTGTTTAAAATTTATCAAAGATTTATGTGGAATGGCACTACAAAAACAATATTTCATGTAAGATTGTCACATCTACAAATAACAGAACATTTCTTAATCTGTGAGGGAAAATGAAAATTTTGTTGTTAAAATGGTAAACCTGGTTATATAGTAGAGCTTGGTCAGGTTGAGAGGCCGACACCTGAACTACTAAGCTTTGGCTATTTCTGCTTAATGTATGCAAATTTTGAGGTTATTAAAAATAATGTATTTGGTAAAGTTATTGCATTTCAACAATATAGATTTTCTCTGTTGTAAAACATGATGATTGTGTTTAAAGTTCATCATTAAAAAAAGAAGAAAAAAACTGGTTTAAATTTGACCAAGTGCCAGTTGTCCAGTGGCAACATCAGGAATTTTTTCCAGGATTTTGGGAACATGACCCATACCCATGGAATTGGGAATTTCAGCGTTTTTTTGTTAAAAATTGGAAAAAAATGCATGAGTGAAATTTTACAGTGATTTATTGGATGCAAACAATTACTATCTACATGTAGGATGGCATCTTCAAACATTTAAGCACTGCAATTACAGTGAAGAAGCCCTTATTTTCAAAGATTTTAGAAATTTTATTCAATAATTTTATATTGTAACTTTCAATTGAGAATTTTTTCCTGTGTATGGGAAAATAATATACTATTTTCAATTGGGAATTTGACCCAATAACGGCTATAAATAAGCCAAAAAAAAGTCCCTGAACATTGACCACAAAAGGTCACAAGGTCAGTACCACATTTCATTTTCTAAAGTTACTAGCAAGTATTTTGAATGAATCTTAAAACTAAGATGTCTTATGTATTGGTGCGCCTTGCAAAATAACTCTTAGTCTGCTAGCAGCAACTTAATGTAACTGCAGACCAAGCTCAGCCATCTAACAATCATGGTCTGCACTTTAATTTGCTATTAAATCAGTACATATTTCAAAATTTCCCCTAAAAATGATGAAAGGTCTTGTCCAGATTAAAAGTTGGAAAAGTCCATTTAAGATATCTAGAGTGGGCCAGTGGCTATGGATTAAAACCTGATATTTTTCCTGGAATATAGTAATTTTGCACTACACTCCAAAATTTGAAATTACTATCAGTTTCTGAAGTGCATTGCTGGTCTGGGTTTCCTGTGGCAGTTAGCATATTTTTCATCTATATCACATATGTATAGCCCTTTCAATTCTGGTAGCAATAACAAAATAACAAAAGTTTGTACTTTTTACATGATAAGTCTCTGATGTTAAAAAAATCATAAGTATTAATAATTTTATATGACATAACAAGTATTGAACTACAGTTAAACTTCGTTTGCTCGAACTCGGATCGCTCGAATACCTCCGGGAGGCTCCCTTTGCTCGAACTCATCGCCCAGTCCCGGCAAAATTCCTATATAATATATATTGTTCTACCTCGGATCGCTCGAACACCTATTGCTCGAACTCTCGAACCTGATCTCTGGTCCCTTCGGAAGAAATATAGTGTAAATCACACAATTTCGGTCGAACACAAACAGACAACAAAAGATGCGGGTCGACATGTTCTAAATAATTGACAGCCGGCGACCCATGTTTTTAACACCTCGTAATCGTGACAAGGGCAATTAAGGTTAATTGATACAAAATAAAAGGTGTTGAAACCGATTTGTTTGTTATGATAAAATTGTATATTTGCCGTCTTTAGTAATAATAAAAAGAAAATAACCCCTGAAATGCGCAAAAGTCAATAATCATTTGCCCGATGTAAGTTTGAAAACCGTGAGGCCTTTGTTCTATGTAATAATAGTTCAACCTCGGTTGGCTCGAACTACCGATCTCTCTAACAAATTTGAACAGGCCCTCCGAGTTCGAGCGAACGAAGTTCGACTGTATAAATAGCTTCATACACTCCAGATGTATTTACTTGAATATAATGTTTTAAATTTCAGGCATGCTTGTATATTCCCATATTAGTCCTGAAAGCAAGAAAGTTTGCCATGTTATACACTGTAGGAAGTTTGTTCATTATTTGTAGGTAAGTTTTCAGCATTTCTTATGTATATCCATAGTCTGCTGATGGCAAAACATTTTAGTCATGTGACAAGTAATGAGAGCACTTCTGTTTTCATCTGATCTTGATCGGCACTGCTCAACTTTATTATTCTGTCAGTACTGATTTTGAAATTTTTCCCCAAAATTAAAAATTGCCTTTGTCCATTCTGAAAGATGGATGAGTCCATTTGAGATATTTATTTTCTTCTGTGATATGGGTTTAAAAATAATCATTTGCTTTCAAATATAACAAGAAATTTAAAAATCTCATCTTCAATGTGGTATGTTTTATGGTAAAATAAACTATTTAAATGCAATGATGACTTCAGGCATCATGGAAAAAATTAATATGTTTAATCGTGTAGGTACTGTAACTAATTCTTTTGCTTGGAGATCAGTTTATCCTATGTATCCCTCTCTGTGCCTTAGAATTGGCGCTGAAAAAGTTATCAGAAGTACACAGCAGTGGTTATATTATAATACCATAACACAATAACAGGAAGTAAAGATGTGACTTGTTTGGACAGAGTTGTCATGGTAACCTTTTAGGCCTGATTTTTGTTCATTTTGTATCCTCAGTTGTTTCATATGACACCCTCAGAAGCCCCTGAAATTTATCGAAACTTGCTAGGTATGTTTCTTGCTTAAGAGCTGGTCAGAGTTGTTCATATAAGTATATCGCCATTGTTTTTGTCTTTGCTATTAGTCCCTCTATCCGTCTGTCAGCATTAGGCTTGTCAGGTTTCCATCCTTAGAGAACATATGGGGGAGACATGTTTTTGAACAAAAACCCCTTCAAGTTTAATACTATTCAGAAGTTTAGTTGCCATGGAAACTAGTGTGCCCCAACAAAAAGCAAAATCTTTAAAATTTAAAAAAAATCTTGTCCAAATCAGCAAGACACGTGGCCTGACTTATATGTATATAAACTTCACCTGGGACACATAGTATTATAGAATGCTTTTCTACCAAATTTTAGCCTGATGTCAATATTGTTCCAACCATTGTGTTTATTTGATAAACTTATTAGTATGTTTATATGCATATATCATCATTTCATCACCTAGTGGTGCTCTTCAAAAATTGTTGAATGTGTGGTACTGGAGACATGTTTGTATATATTTCAGTTTTTCCATGTTATGGGGACCAATGAATCACATAAAACATTTACTAGCAGCAGAAAGACTACCTTTTACATCTGTGTATTTTGGAACAATGTTTGCTACAATATATTTTTCAATATGGGTAAGCATTCTATCTATATTTATATAAGTTCCACTTATTTCTTTTATGTAGATCTGATGACGACGGTATATGTTTCGCATTCTTTATAATTCAGATTTCCCTAGAAGGCATTTTTTAGCCATGCAATCAAACTGGTTATTACATAGGCATTAGAAGAAGTATCAAAATACCGTTATACATGGAAGTTAAACAAATTGTTGATTTTTGTTAGAAAAACAAGTGTTGGAAGTAATTTTTCACAAATTACTTGAAAAAAAAAGTCAATTTTTAATTGGCAAGATTGTTTTGCCATTTTACCTGTCGGCTTTATGGACAATGCCATGTTTGTTCTAGAAATTGTGAATATTACGTACTCAGTGTTTGTTTTCCCAGGGTTAAAATAAGAAACTGTGTCGCTTTCAAAATAAGGAAAGCTCGCTGATAATTGGTTGTGTGAAAAGTCACCAGAAATGATTTCGTATTAGGTCATGGTTAGATCTAAAAGCGGAGCGTGACTTAGAGCTGATTTTAATCAGATTGAGTCCCTTGCAGGATTCAAACCCTAAGCGAAGTAGTTTGAAATCAACAACCGTAACCACTCTGCCATGGATGCTCCCTGCATAAACCTTGCACTAAAGTACATTATTAGCCTATTTTTAGCTCGACTATTCGTAGAATAATCGAGCTAATGCAGTCACCCATTTGTCGGCGTCGGCGTCCCTGTGGTTAAGTTTTTGTATGTAAGCTGGTATCTCCATAACTACTGAAGGGAATGGATTGAAACTTCACACACTTGTTCTCTGTGATTATCTAAGATGATTGGCACAAGTCCCATAACTCTGATTTGCTTTTTTACATAATTATGCCCCTTTTTCGACTTAGAAATTCTTGGTTAAGTTTTTGTATGTAAGCTGGTGTCTCCATAACTACTGAAGGGAATGGATTGAAACTTCAAACACTTGTTCTCTGTGATTATCTAAGATGATTGGCACAAGTCCCATAACTCTGATTTGCTTTTTTACATAATTATGCCCCTTTTTCGACTTAGAAATTCGTGGTTAAGTTTTTGTATGTAAGCTGGTATCTCCATAACTACTGAAGGGAATGGATTGAAACTTCACACACTTGTTCTCTGTGATTATCTTAGATGATTGGCACAAGTCCCATAACTCTGATTTGCTTTTTTACATAATTATGCCCCTTTTTCGACTTAGAAATTCTTGGTTAAGTTTTTGCGTGTAAGCTGGTATCTCCATAACTACTGAAGGGAATGGATTGAAACTTCACACACTTGTTCTCTGTGATTATCTAAGATGATTGGCACAAGTCCCATAACTCTGATTTACTTTTTCGCATAATTATTCCCCTTTTTCGATTCATAAATTCGTGGTTAAGTTTTTGTGTGTAAGCTGGTATCTCCATAACTACTGAAGGGAATGGATTGAAATTTCACACACTTGTTCTCTGTGATTGTATTGAAACTTGAAGGGTTTGTACCTTTTCGTACAATTTTATGTAGTCATATAGGTAAGCATTATTATACTCAATGAAACACCCTTGTGACAAATTTTCGAATAGTCGAGCGTTACTGTCCTCCGACAGTTCTTGTTACACAAATACAGTCATGTATGTATATTTCCAGGTTAAAAGTACAGTATTTACAGTCATCTTTGCAGTTATTCAAATATTAGCTTTAGTTTGGTAAGTACCCTTAAATCTTATATAAGAGCTTGGGCATTGGTAAAAAGCCTGCACTTAAAGTTCAATTGAACTTCAATAGGGAGAATACTGGATATATGCACCTTGATATGGCAAATTTGAGGTTGTGTATGGCGGGATACTACATCCTTTGTTGTAACAATTTGGATTTAGCAATTTATTTTTATTAATGGAATTGATATATCAGTTTAAGTTTGCAGTTACTTAGGGAGTTAAGTTAGGAAGTGGGAACAAGTCGGTACTGGTTTTACATCTAAGATTAAATTATTTCTATTACTTTGAAACAACTAGTGCTATACCCGACAAAATAAACAAAGTGGCTCAGCAGATATGATCACTGACTTCAATTCACTTGTCTCTCATCAGTCTACAAGGATCATTGCCCTCTTGTTTTTAACCAGGTTTTCAACGAAAACTGGGTTATTGTAATGCCGAAGTGGGCGGGCAGGCAGGCGGGCGGGCGTCAACTTTTGGTTTCCGCTCAATAACTTTAGTTTGCTTTGGCCTATTGACACAAAACTTGGTGTGTAGGTAGCTTATATCAAGAGGCAGCTTGGGATTGCTACCCAGGTGTCTGTGATCAAGGTCAAGGTCACTGTTACTAAAAATAGAAATTCAGTTTCCGCTCAATAACTTGAGTTTGCTTTGGCCTATTCACACCAAACTTGGTGTATGGATAGCTTATATCAAGAGGCAGCTTGGGATTGCTACCCAGGTGTCTGTGATCAAGGTCAAGGTCACTGTTACTAAAAATAGAAATTCAGTTTCCGCTCAATAACTTGAGTTTGCTTTGGCCTATTGACACCAAACTTGGTGTATGGATATGAAATATCAAGAGGCAGCTTGGGATTGCTACCCAGGTGTCTGTGATCAAGGTCAAGGTCACTGTTACTAAAAATAAAAATTCAGTTTCTGCTCAATAACTTGAGTTTGCTTTGGACTATTGACACCAAACTTGGTGTATGGATAGCTTATATCAAGAGGCAGCTTAGGATTGCTACCCAGGTGTCTGTGATCTAGGTCAAGGTCACTGTTACTAAAAATAGAAATTCAGTTTCCGCTCAATAACTTGAGTTTGCTTTGGCCTATTCACACCAAACTTGGTGTATGGATAGCTTATATCAAGAAGCAGCTTGGGATTGCTACCCAGGTGTCTGTGATCAAGGTCAAGGTCACTGCTACTAAAAATAGAAATTCAGTTTCCGCTCAGTAACTTGAGTTTGCTTTGGCGTATTGACTCCAAACTTGGTGTATGGATAGCTTATATCAAGAGGCAGCTTGGGATTGCTACCCAGGTGTCTGTGATCTAGGTCAAGGTCACTGTTACTAAAAATAGAAATTCAGTTTCTGCTCAATAACTTGAGTTTGCTTTGGCCTATTGACACCAAACTTGATGAATGGGTAGCTTATATCAAGAGGCAGCTTGGGATTGCTACCCAGGTGTCTGTGATCAAGGTTAATGCATTTAGTTTTCATGTTATAACTTGAGTTTGCTTTGACCTTTTGTCACCGAACTTGCTGAGTGGCAGCTTTGGATTGCCACTTAGATATCTGGGAGCAAGGTCAAGGTAATTTGCTTACAATAGAATATTCAGTATCTACTCAATAACTTCAGTGCACTTTGACCTATTGATTGCTGTCACATCAAAACTTGGTCGTTGAAAACCTGGTTTTCGTCGCATTGCGGCGCTTCTTGTAATTCTATTTTTAACAGAGTTGTTGCCCTTTATTTTCCAGGTATATCATGAGTTATATCCCTGGAGGACAAACTGGAATGAAATTTTTCTCAAGAATATTTTATGCAGCTGCATCAAAAACAACACAAAACATCCTGCCAGTATAGCAGGAGCCGGTGATCATGTGACTTTCATTCAGGTGTTGATCATGTGACCTACAAATGAGGGGATCATGTGTAATTGTACAATATCCAAGGGAAACTACTGTGATTTTATTGTTGGAAAAGTTCGATAACTGTGCACTGTGCAAGAAAATGATATTGGAATGGCCAGATATGTGATATGTTATGAACAAATATGAAAAAGTGGTTAAATCCATGTAAAGATTTCTCTTTTGAAGAGTGGGTTTTGTTAGATGGTGTCACTGACAGCTACAAGCTGATAAATATGGGAAAACACTACGTTTTGAATACTTACAGCATTTATATCAGATTGTGTACAGTAGATATTATATAAAGAATACTAATTTAAAAGAATTTGTAAAATTAATTAGCTTTATTCACAGATGGTATCCATAATAGGCTCTTGACTTAAAATGTGACTTTGTATTAATAATATTCTTTGGAAAAAAATAAGCTATTGAATTTTGTTTTTTTTAACTTTTATTTTTTTTGCTTATAAGTAAGTTTAGCTAAAATATCCATATTCTATCTATATTACAAGATAAAATTCAGTCATTTGACATATGCATAATGTTCTTTTTTTTTTACAAAAATAAGAAGTATTTTTACTACAGTTTAAAGGTCAAAGTTTCACCATGACTGAATGTAATACTGACCTTGACCCAGTTTTATGAAGCTAAGCTTCAGCCATTGATGTCTAGATGAAAAACAAATATTTAAAATGGACCGTCGGCCCGACATTTCTTTCTGAGAGTTAATGACAATCTTAGATTATCAATCATTTTTCTTCAGCTGTCACTTAAGCAATGTTAACCAGCACATCGCATATCATATCATGTTATAGGTCTATCACATTAACTTATTATTGTTATATGTTTTGTCCCTATATTGATTTTTTTTTTTTGTTGATTTTATTTTCATCAAAATAAGTACTAAAGCTATTTGACCAGTAGTTTCTGTACAAATATTTTACTACAAATTGCATGTTGGTTGGTATACCTGTAAATGAAATACAAAAATGTAAGATGTTCAGTAGAACAAATGTACTGTTTATCATAACTGTTTGGCCATGGTTCAATATGTAGTATTACAAGTAACTCATATTGTACAGGAAGACTTAGCATTTTCCTAATTATCTGGTCAAGGGAAGTAATTCTCAATGAACAACAATGAACATTGGCATCTTACAGTGGCAATCGGGTGCAAGAAAAATATGTGTAAACTTGGGTCAGACTTACTTTGAAGGGTGACTATCCTACTTTAAGTGTGCATTCATTTATAGTTTGTATGATATTTTTCTTTCATGAAATTAATATTCAGATCAAATTATGAGTTTTGAATTTTTCATCAAAATAACTTACGTAATCTTTATCCTGGTTAATTTGTTTAATGTCAAGCTTTCAAGTAAAGTTGTTTTTTGTTAGTTTGAGTGAAATCTATACAACAATTAATAAACAAACATAAAATCTGATTAAAATTACTTAAAAGTGAAAATTTGGCTGGCTTTTTGTTCGTGGTCTATCCAGATCATCATCGCCACAAATATCTACAGAGTTGTGCTACATCCTGCAAATGGTATGATATTCTTTAGTTTTTTCCTACTTCACTTTTGCAAAGAGAATATAGCTTATTTGTTTGGGTATTTACACTGATCTTAACACATGTTTGGTTACCATTTGACAGTACTGAATAACTAATTAGTTATTACCAGTTCCTCCAAAAGTGACGGATTACTAATCCCACACTATAGACATATCAGTGTTGAGAGAAAAATAACCATAAGACTCAAATGTCCGGGGTCAATTGTCGCAGAGAAATATCGCCTCAGTCCAGGATAGAACCAGGAATCCCTGCATTACAAATTCTGATGTTCTTGCTTTTGAGCTTAGCGGAAAATGTTAAGACTGTATTTAAATATGACTCTTTTGAAAATACATATAAATTTATTCAAGAATGTTTATAATATTATAAGAAATTTGGTTGTATAATAAACAGACTGTTTAGTGGTTAAATGTCAGAATATTAGTGACTAGTCACCAAGAATTACATTTTTCAAGTATACATGCATGAAAAATGTTTCGTATAGGAATGTTATACTAATGTACTTTGTGAGGAAAAAAAAGATGAACGTACATATCGTTTTAGATATATTAAATGATATTATCTTTTCTATATTTTTGTTGTAATAAAATAATTGACATCAAAATGTATGACAAGTGTTAGTTTAGTATGTGTCAACACATTTCATTATATTTTACATAACATATTTCATTGTATGTATTTGAACATGTTGTACTGAAATAAAGTAATTTTGAAAATAAAAACTTATTAAATTATTAACTCTGATTTATCTGTTTAAGAACATGAATGGTTCAGATAAGTGTTGTGTTTTCTGGAAAAATTAAATGGCATTTTGTAAATGATTTGCTAAATTTATGACAAATCATTTCACATTCAGCACTATTTACTTCCGATGATAAGTACATCAGCACTAAGTACATCAGCACTTTTTACTTCCGATGATAAGTACAGTGTATCTGATGTTTTAATCAGTTATCAAAGCATCATTGAGCACACGTTTATTCCTTCTAAAGAGCAAAACCATGGTTTTATTTCTGAGGCATAATATGCTATAAGATGCCTTTAGCAAGAGGTGTTTAAAATTTTGTAATATTAAAGTTTGACCATGTTGAAAACTGACTCCATGATAGATGATAGATTGTTTCAATAACTAGAATTTATTGTCATGTAACACATATGTGCTAAAGAGATCCATAGGTGATGCATATAAAAAACAACAAAAGACATCTACTTGAACATACTACTGATCACATCAAACATTTACTAGCCAGTCTAAAACAACAATTAAGGTAATGTAGCTTTGATGTGATGTTCATAAGAAAATGATGTTTGATAATTGAGAGTCATTTGTCTTACTGTATTGATACTAGTGCTGAAAATATGGAAAACATACAGATGTGACCCTTAGCAATACTGCAATGAATAATTTCTTTTTTAATAGCATGGACAAGCCAGAGTTAAAACTGTCATCTTACCATTGACAAATAAAAGTGACTAAATACTGGTATTTGTTAACTATCATTTCATGTAATGAAACTTTGTACACCAGTAAAAGAAACTGTTCTCTATTTCATAAACTTATATTAATTCATATAAATATTCAAGAATCCACAGGTGTATCTCATAGTTATTATACCCCCACCACAAAATGTGGGGGGGGCTATAATGGATTCGCTTTGTCGCGTCGGTCGGTCGGTCGGTCCGTCCGTCCGTCTCCATTTTCGTGTCCGCTCTATAAATACTATACCAATTGAAAGATTTTCTTCAAACTTGGCTCAAATGTTAACCTCAACAAGGGAATGTGCAAAATCCATGTTGCCCATGTGTCAGCTCAAGGTCAAGGTCACAGTTGAAGGTCAAATATCAAACAATCAAATATTAGACAGTATGCATTGTCCGCTCTGTAAGTCCTACACTACTTGAAAGATTTTCTTCAAACTTGGCTCAAATGTTCACCTCAACCAGGGGATGTGCAGAACCCATGTTGCCCATGTGTCAGCTCAAGGTCAAGGTCACAATTGAAGGTCAAATATCAAACAATCAAATATTACACAGTATGTCGTGTCCGCTCTGTAAGTCCTACACTACTTGAAAGATTTTCTTCAAACTTGGCTCAAATGTTCACCTCAACAAGGGGATGTGCAGAACCCATGTTGCCCATGTGCCAGCTCAAGGTCAAGGTCACAATTGAAGGTCAAATATCAAACAATCAAATATTACACAGTATGTTGTGTCCGCTCTGTAAGTCCTACACTAATTGAAAGATTTTCTTCAAACTTGGCTCAAATATTCACCTCAACAAGGGGATGTGCAGAATCCATGTTGCCCATGTGTCAGCTCAAGGTCAAGGTCACAATTGAAGGTCAAATATCAAACAATCTAATATTACACAGTATGTCATGTCCGCCCTGTAAGTCCTACACTAATTGAAAGATTTTCTTCAATCTTGGCTCAAATCTTCATCTCAACCAGGGGATGTGCAGAACTTATGTCACTCTTTTGCTGGCTTAAGGTCAAGGTCACACTTTAAGGTCAAAAATTGACTTAGAAAATATTCTTAAATTTTAACATTTATTTGAATATTTCTAAATCTAGAAAAGGTATTTGCTTGAAACTTAAAATATTTTTGAAGGGTCACAATTCCGATATGCTGTTCGTTCAAGTTTCATAACTCTGTATTGCATTTTACCAAAGTTATGCCCCTTTTTAAGTCTTCAAATTTACATACAATCAAATATTAGACAATACCGGGTATGTTGTGTCCGCTCTATAAATCCTATACTAATGGAAGAATTTTCTTCAAACTTTACTCAAATTTTCACCTCAACAAGGTTATGTGCAGAATCCATGTCACCTTTGTGCTGGCTTAAGGTCAAGGTCACACTTGAAAGTCAAAAATTGACTTAGAAAATGTTCTTAAATTTTAACATGTACTTGAATAATTCTGAAACTAGCGCAGGCATTTGCTTGAAACTTAAAAGATAAATGAGGTGTGGCAAATAAGATATGCAGGTAAAGTTTCATTACTCTGTATTGCTTTTTGACAAAGTTATGCCCCTTTTTAAGTCTTCAAATTTACATACAACCAATACTAGATAATATATTGTGTCTACTCTATAAATTCTATACTAATGGAAGGATTTTCTTCAAACTTTACTCAAATGTTCAACCAAACTGGGTGATGTGCAAAACCCATCTTACCCTTGTGCCAGATTAAGGTCAAGGCCACACTTGAAGGTCAAAAATTGACTTATAAATAAAATGTTTAATACATTGGGAAAATGAAAGGTTATTTGTAACTGTTTCGAACATGATTTGATAATATATATTTATACTATTACCTGTACAATTAGTCTTTTTTTCACCAGAGATAATTTCTTTTTATGTATTTGTGCCACATAAGTTATTCCCTTAGCCACCTTTCCAAGTGGTCTTCTGTCAAGGACATTGGTGGGGGTATTAATCGCATTCAGCGATAGTTCTAGTTCATTCAGGGGCACAGTTATTTTCTCATACATTTGTTTCAAAAAGAATACAAGCAGCAAATCCAAGCAGGGGCCATGCTCGACTTTTTCTTATTTCTAAAGTCAAACACATTGGAGAAAAAATATTCTAGATACCTCTAGGAATCTAAACATCACTGTCTCAAACAAAATATAATTCAAATTTCATATTTGACCTTTAAGGTCAAGGTCACATTTGAATTAATTATCATGTCAGTTTTAACATGTGTGTTCTTTTGTTAAAGAATGAATCAAATCAATTAATTAATTACAATAGTATGACAATCTAAAAAATCAATAGTGTGACCTTGACATTAATGGTAGATCCAAGGTCATTTTAGAATAATTCAACATGCCAGTTTTGTTATATGTGTTCTTCTGTCCAAGTATAAATATAATTTGTAAATAAATAAGATATGACAATTTAAGTTAGATTCAACAGTTGACCTTGATGGTCAAGTAAAGTCAGGGTCATATCAAAATAATTCAACATGTTGGTTTCGTCATATATGTGTTCTTTTGTCCAAGTAAATACACATTCATAAATAAATAGAAAAGTTATAACAGTCTAAGCTAAGTCAATATTTGACCTTGACAGTCAGTGTTAATGTGTGAAGGTCATATTTAAATGTCTAAACATTTCAGTTTTGTAATAAATGTTCTCTTGTCCAAGTATAATTCAAATTAATAACAAATTTATGGTCAAATGTTGCTAAATTAACTTATTTGACATTTGCAGTTAGCACGATGTCATGTTTTATTAATTCTAATGTCTTGTCCCAAGGACTGTTGTGACCAAGTATGAAGACAATACATTTATTACTAAAAGTTATAGCCAATAAAAAAACTAAAGGATCTTTTCCAAAGGATTGTTATGTCCAAGTATGAACACATTTTATTCATAAATGGCAGTTTAATAGCCAATTATACCTAAAACCAAACAAAACTCAAATATTTGACCTTGAAGGTCAATGTCTTTTATAAGTGAAAGTCAAGTTCAGTCTGGTCATCTGAAAGTTCTTGTCAAAAGGGTCGTTGTGAAGGAAATTATTTTAGAAAAAGCAAAAATTATGACCAACATTACTGTCTACGGACGGCAACGGCTACTGTAACGTCAACAGCAACGGTAAGATAATTCAACAACAACATGACTAGCAATGGCTTTGATTTTTTCTTTCTCAAAAAAAAAAAAAGAGGAGCTAAAAGTGAAAAAAATAGTGTAAGTTGATATATCTTTCTTTATCTAAATCTTTGATAAAATATGTGTTAATTTAAGATTTTAGGGTACATTAGTCTCAGCGTCGAATTTTCCTTCTTTAGAAAGAGCAAACGTAGTTTTTATAACGTTAGAATAATGGTTTTAGGACATGTTACATGTTTATCACCTGAGTAATTGACTTGCAGTCCAGTATCGGCCTTGTGAAAACGTTTTGTGTCTGCGTGTGCTTCTGATGTAACGCTAAAAAGCGCGTGCTTGTATTTACTTTTGGCGGGAAATTTGGTCAGAATGTTGTCCAAAAGTTCAGTCGAATGCATTTGCATTCAAAAAATCGGAATTGATAAAACGTGTTATCGTTACATTCTTTGTTTGTTCAACAGTTATCCAGAATGAGACCAGTACATTATAAGAAGAAAGTAAAAAAAATGAAGATACTCTGCAACAATCTAAATGACACCGAGTCTGCAATTTTCACTTCGTATAATCATTGCCCTTAACCAGCAGGTGTTAAGTGCCGTATGGCAGCAAGTGAAACGTTGCCCCGGAATTCATCTTAGTGAATTTTTTTATATTGTTGTGCTTCAGGATCATTGATTCCAACACATCTTGGACAGATGATAACATTTGAAGTACCTTAAAGCATTTAGTAACTGCTTAAACCGGTGCAAGGGGGCGTAAGAGATGTTGCACCATACAGTTCTCATGAACCGGGTCTATATTTTTTACCTTTAAAGTTTTGTATTCATGCTATCGATGGGTGTCCCCTTTCCAGAATTTTCTCTACTATAAACAGGCGATTTCAAAGTTAAAATATCGTTTAAAAATAATCATCTTAGCGACTTCTATCTTCAACAAAATTAATAGGACAATTCTCAACGTTAAAAATAACCAAGGCTAGCTCTGTTCTCAATGTCTAAAAATGACCGTGGCATGGTCTAAACTTAATGTTGAAGGCACCATTAAAGTTGTTATAAGACCTTAACAGGTCTACATGACCAAAACACTATCAAAAATATGAATGAATAGTTGTCAGCCATCACCCATGTAAGATCAAGGTAAAAGTTATAACGTTACACACTGTGAACATTAAGTTGTCATCATCACTGACACTTGGGGTGTGGAGCTCCAAACGCCTTAAAAACCAAAAAAAAAAAATGTATACATATTTGTCAATCCCAGAACATATACTTATCATGATAAATCTTAATTAAAGCAGTTTTGAAAAATAAAAGCATATTTCAACGTCTATAATATAATATATATACTGGGATTGTCAAATACACAATTTATTTGGATTTTGTTGTCATCATGAGATCTAGCTCATGTGGTCATTCATTGGCATGTTTCATTAAAATTAACCCTAAGCAACTAAATGATTTCGTTCATATTTCAATTTAGACCTTTTTCAATGCTGCAATTTCATGAATTCTAAACTTTTAAATAGAGAGTCACATTCCTTCAGAATAGAATTTTCATTAAATAATACAAAAATAGTCATGGTGAGTGTTCAAATGATCGATTTCCTAAGAGGGCAGTCAAGAGAACCCTTCTCTGGAAAAAAAATCAAGACGATTATGAGTGCCTGAAGGTCTTAATTGAAGATCTATATTATTCAACTGTCACATATGTTTTACACAAAACTATAGTCTTTCAAATATTTGACAAAATTTAATATTCGTACTTTCCAAGGGACAGAACTCGTCAGGGACAAATCTTATTACAGTGTTCGCAATAAAAAAAGATACTAACTACTTTGCTCATATTACTTGTTATTGTTTCTTCTTGTTTCAAATACAACTGAACTTATTTAAATAACGAATAATGAATGCAACGTTCATGAAATAAGTAAAGTTTTCGTTTCTCATTTTAGGTGTTTGAATTTCTCAAAATATATAACGTTTATACATTACAATTCTATGAAGTGTATACCACAAAAGGAAGTTATCGTTGTCTGCTTTTCACGGATAGTGACGAGAGGCGTTTCGTTAATTTCCGTTCCAATATTTGATGTCGGAAATTACCGAAGTAGAGCTACATGCACCAGCCGCGTGATTTTTCAATCCCATAGTACCTCACTCAAGGTTGTTATGCGTCATTTCATGATCGGGATTGACTAACAATGGCGATGTGTTAGTTGTCAAAATTGTTATAAGTTATCGTAAAAATGGGAGATTTTCTTCATTTCTTACTAAATAGAATTTAAGCTACATCTTATATAAAGTTGCCGAGAATCTATACTCTTGAAAAACGCTTGAAAATAGAAAAGAAATGAGCTGCGACGGATTTATCAGTACAAATCCTTTGTTCTTTGTCTAGACACTCGAAAAAAAAATTGAGTGATAATTGACAAAGTATTTTCGGTTAACAGAGGATAATTGTCACAGAAACTCGAAATATTGCTGTTGATAGTGGAATTATACAAGTCAAATAACTTGAAAAATGGCCATTTTGGGGAAATAAAAACCCGAAAGGATGTAATGCACTAAGTGACGTCATAACTATAGTGAAATTACTGTATTTTGGGCAACGCCTTGCACTTGGATACATTTCTTTCGGAGTTAATGTTATAGAATATATAATATAGTAAATTCCTAAAATAAAATTGTGTTTATATATTTTGGAAGCCTTTTCTTTTTTACCTGTATTTTTTCTTGGTTTGTAATGAAAAATCCTTCAATTGCGCACTATCAAAATGGAAATTACTCTTTCAATAATGCGTTTACGTGTATCTAGAAAATTATACGTGTATTTGCTTTGAATTTCAGCAAATTTCTCCGCGTGACTGTACACACATATATAGGACAAATACATGTCTGCACTTCTTATCAAGCAGGTTCTGGCAACGCTCCAAGTTTTTTGTTAACCTAAAACACGTTCTATACACATTTAACCGAGGGTGGTTCAATGCACAAGCTTAATTACACACAGCGAACAATAAAACTTATTTTGCCCGCGGCAAACTAATATCTTTCCGTGAATCAATTGTAACGCGCCAGCGCTTCCGTAGAAAGAATTATTTGTGAGGCTACCGCGGGGAGCTGTCAAACTTATTGAAAATCAATAACCCCTAGAAGCGGATAACTCGGCTGTCTGACTACTGGACTTGCAAATATTATAGTTGCCTCGCTTATACGTTCAATGAGAAATTAGAAGCATTCTTGAAAATGTTGAGAATTTTTTATTTTAGTTTTCTGATTTTAAAATCCAATTCAATTAATAACAAATATATGTTTTTTTATAAATTTTCTTGAAGCGTATCAATTTGAATACTTTCAAGCTTTTAAAAGGACAAGACCTTTTCTCATTATTACAAAACAGTAACACTCACACATACCGAAGACAATTCATTGGCTGTATAACAAAATTCTGTCACTAAATTTCGTATGTTCAAATAAAAAAGCCTAATACCTAATTAGGTTGATATTGACATTTTCAATGACATCCTAGGAATTCATTTTATGATTCTTTTACACTGCTAAATTCATTTCAAAAGTAAAACAACAACATTGAACAAGAGAAAAAAATGCGTTTCCTTTTTTTTTTTTTTTTTTGTTGCAAATATAAGAAAATGTTCCATAGATCAACTCATTAATGAATAAACTAATATAATATTAAAAGCAATCAAAATTTAAATAAGACTCCATGTCGGCTGTTTAGAAGGATGCAAATGCATTATAAATAAATTATATGCTACCGTTGTAAGTGTAGAATTTAAAGCAAAAACATTTTAAATTGACATAACCAAAAACTTTATTCATATTTATAAATATAGGGTAGATGCTGCACATTAAACTATTCATTTTAAACGCTCAGACAAATAACTTATCTTCGATAAATACTTGTACAGGTCCTTTATCTAATATATAAACTTTTAAATGAAAATAAATATTTCAATTCTTACTGAAAACCCTTACTAAGACAAATCAAAACTCGAAATAATGTCGATCCCATTCATAAGAATGTTAACGTTGAGCTGACCCCTTCCTTCTACACAATCACATGGCATATGCTGTATATTAAGCTGTCACGTGACAATGACGTCACGCGGTTTAGTACGAAATTTTTTATCGGGACTACAGCGAAGTTGTAATGTGTAATGCAATGTGCTATTTTAAACGAAAAATGTCGGCGTGTTTGAAGTTTACAATAGGGATGTAGAATTCTAGGGAAATGGTACGCGAAACAAGGTATCTTCTCGTTGGGAATTTACCCGAAACGATTACAGAAAATGAAATAGCGGAATATTTCAAGAGGTGAGTAACGAAATATTTTACAGAACGTGTCTCTAATAACAATTTTGAAGAAGGGTCATGCTCGTCGCGCAATGGAAGTATTATTATCGCGTTTTGAGTTATTTTAGCTCGTCGACAGAACACACATTGAATTTGCGAATGCTTAATAGAAATATGTAAAAGATAGCAAATTAATGATAATAATTGATGTGTTGCGTCAACAGAAATTTTGTTGTTGTTATTCACCACTCATTGTTGTGGAAAAATTTCAATTGTAACCTCTCGCCGGACACTCTATACCCTTATTTATGTTGCTGTTCATATTGTTTAACAAGAATTCCGAATTTTTGTCAAAGAAGAAATTGAAAAATAGCACATGTTTAAGCATTCTTAATTACTGTGTTGTTGCTATTATAATTGGATTAAAAGTAGTTCCAATTAAAAAGTATGGATGCAAATAAGTGTCATAATTTGGAAAAATTTGAATGTTTCAGAAAAAAATACAAAAAATAATGTTTTAGATCTAATATTTTTATGTGAACATAAATTATGAATTGCAATTAACATAATTTGCACAAATTTTTATAATTTAGGAATATTTGCACATCTCTACTTTAACATGAAATTAAAAGAAAATTTCACCACCTGAAAATTAAATAAATTAAAATAATGTCACCACTTTTTATTTTACTTTTATTTATTTCTGCATTTACAATAGATACAAAAGTACTATATATTGAATATTGATGACCAAGTTATTTTGAGTGAACAACTCTGTATTTGAATTGTGCATCAAACTTTCCAGAATTAAATTAACCAACTTTCTTGGCTAGAAATAATTGTTGTATCATGTGACAAATAAATATGGGGGAGGTACCATATACATGTACAATTGATATCTTTTAGTCTAACTTTCTGTTTAAGATCAAGAAAAAGTAAAATTTTAATCCTTCCTAACATGCATAATCTTGCAGAGCTGTTAATCTTTTGGGTAAATCCCTGCTTAATTTTTCATGATGAAAAAAGTTAAGTATTAATTTAATGCTTTAATGCGCTGTCAAAGGTTTATTTCCTATTAAAGTAATCATATGGGCTTGTCCAATGTTTGTACAGATTTACTTGATAACTATAGTCTAGGGTAGAATTAGAACCATATTGCATATATTTTTTATCAATTTGATTAAAATGCTAAATTAATATTTTTGCCAAGTTTTGAAAAGACTGAAATGAAATACAAACATGAATTCTCTTACTGTTGTAATAATGTAGGGATGTGCTGAAGTTCTTACTCTAATACTATATTTAGCATTTTAAATGAGGTGCTTTATAAATCTAGACAAATTTACAGTAATATTGTAAAAATTTATAATCATGATTAATGCCACCAGCCAGTAAAAAGCTTGCACCTTTGTGCACACATGGCTATAATATAAACTATGATATATAAATACTGAGTTTTGTCAAAATTAATTTATAGATATTGTTAAAATTCCTCACATGATAAAAAGGAAATTTTTTTGTAAATTAGTGCTATGCTATATTAAAATTAATTGTACTGGTAACAGTTAACTATTTCCTAAATATCTAAATTTTTTGGCTTTGCTAATATGTGCAACCACAGTATGAATATTACTTATTAGTTAGATGGAAACTATAAAATAAGTAAAAACAAATTCCAACATGAGGCCCCCAACCGCTTCCAAATATAAAACACAAAGACTTAATCTTTGCTTCACATTTATCCCCATTTCATGCATATATATAATAATAAGCATTTATGTCATTAGTTTTTATGACCAACTGGATTTACAATCTAATATTATGAGAGTTCTTACAAGGACCAAGACAAAATCTTATGGACTGCTCCAGTGGTCCAAGTTCCCACATTGTTCCGACTACCTTGCTGGCAACAACAGACTAATGGTGTGACAAGAGCCTCACTTTGGTCCCATCACTGTTTACTAAAATATTCGGCCACTTCATATCTTGAAATTTTCCCAAAAAATGATGAAAGTTTGTCCACTTTATGATTAGCATGTTGAAGGTTCAATGGACTTCATATACATACTTAATCATAGATATGTACCCCAGTTCTGCTCAACAGTGATTTTTCTCGCTTAATTGGGAAGAGGCCTTAGCCTCATGATTTTGGGAAAAATTATCGCTAAAATTGCTAATTTGGGAAGAAAAAAGCAGATTTAAGTTCAGATTTTTGGGAAAACTGCATGATTTTAAAGAAAATTTCAATTGGGAAGAGGCCCTGTTTCGGAGTCTGTTATATAAATAAAAAAATCACTGCTCAACTGTCTATTCTAACTAGTTTAATGGAAAATAATTCCAATATATATTATTTTTTATTGCAAATTCTTGTCTGATACCATTGCAAATAGTTTATTAAGATTTGATAGAACATCTTAAGGAGTCACACATTCCTTTCATGCACATTTCTTTTTCAAAGAATGATGACAGAAGTTAATTTTACAAGATCTGTATGATATTTGAAGAATCTTAGTATTCTACGAGGATATTTGCCATTGGGAATACATAAATAATCTTGATTTCAAGAGCTTCTTAAAATCATCTTTCTAATGAATTTTCATGGGAAAATTTGGTGTACTCGGTATTAAGTTGCAAGTGTCTTTAGCTTACCATGCTAGCACTGGTGTTTTAGTCATTTTCGGTTCAATTATAGATTATAAATAATTCATCACATGTATGGCAAAGTAAATCTTGTTTAAAATCTCCCTTGAAAAATTACATTTAAGAAGACATCATTTTATGTTTTTACTAAGTGAACATGAACTAGTCTTTTATTTGTTGCCTTTTGCTTAGTAGTACAGTACTTGTACATGTAATGTGATGGATACACAGTGACATTATTAGAATGGACAAAAGTGATATTAGCAGGACTGGTACAAACCATACAATAATATAATGTATCAAATTATGACATTGTATGACCACAGTAAGTGAAAGTGGGCCTAGTGAAAGCTTTTTATAAGAGACATCAGTTCTTAGTTGTTGCTGTTTTTTTAATCTTTAAAAAAAATGTCAGGTTTTTCATGAATTACCCACTAAATACCAATTCCTAAACTTTCCTGTGTCATCACAGAAGAGCTTGCAGGCAAGTCTGCACATCTGTGCATGATGTGCAAGGTTGCAAACTATAGCATTTTAATATTAAAACAAAGGACAGTTTCAAATTTTAAAGCCATTTACGCAAAGTAAGATTGCAAGGTAATGGATGAAATTTGCTTTGGCAAAATGGTAGTTTTCCTTCATTGTTGCCATCCATTTCCTGAAAGTGCAGATAATTTGATTATCTTCAAAGATATTTCATTCAAGAATGAAGCATAACACTTGAAGCCGAGTACAAAAACGAATCTGAAGAACTAACATGTCTGTCTGAATATATATGTAACAAATTGGTCAAGTCCCTGTGGCCTATCAAATCCATTCCTATGACATTTTTGTGACTATCGTAATTCATCGTTTGGTTCACCATTATTGTCGGATATTTTTGCAGACATGACGTTACTGCAATCATTTTGACATAGATTTTAGCATTGCCCAGCATTCTATTATTAAAGTTGTTATAAATGTTTTTGCCCCTCCAAATTTATGCATTGGACTGAAAAAAAAATGTGCTCCTTGAATTTGGAATTTGACATTGTTATGGGGAATTTCAGAAACTGCAAGATTCAGACTTTGGAGTATTGTCCAATAGACAGGCATGGTTATAAACTGGTGTCATCTATTAAGACTGGCAATTAATGTTTTAAACATTTTAAATGCTTTATATCAAGGATTTACTGCAAAACTGTTGAAGGTCCTTCTTTATTTCATATAACTTACTACCATTTTGCAGTCATAACTGGTTGAACAATTGTAAGTAACATCTTTGCCATAACATGAATACCTAAGTTCTGTGGAAAAACTAAACCTCAAGTTCTGTTGTACATTGGCAATGATGAAAAAATTGAGGGAAAAAAATAGATTGGGAAAGCAGGAAAACTAAAATGCGCATTTAGAATTACAAGAATGTTTTATTAATTGAGTATACTAGATATGCAGGCATGATAATTTATAATTGATGAAATCATAAATTAATGAAACTAATTGTCACTGACTTTCCATAGTTATGTTGCTGTGGGCAATTTTGGCTTTCCATAAATTTGACAGCATTTGTATACAGGTTTTAGCGGGATTGTTATATATGAAAGTTGATAGCAGCTTTTAATGTTTAATGCATTTTGCCCAGAGGGTATATTTTATGCCTTAACCAACTAAAACTGATTTCCCTTTGCCACCAGTATAGAGCCAGGTTGGCCTACATATATAAGTGCATTGTGACCATGCAGACTGTTGTATTTTGTTTTGATTTTTCATTATTTTGATATAGAAATCCCTTTAACTTTAAATTGACTGTTCCAAATTCAAAGCAAGACAAAGGGTTAACTTAAGAATTAATATAGTAGGGATTTCCCCTTGTTTTATAAAGCATCCACATATATTTTTAAGGATGTTATATTCATACATGGCCGGAAAACAAAACAATATGGAAAGAAACTATAATATTTATACAAGTGTATTTGCATTACTTTACTTATAAGTTGTAAAAAAATCCTGTAAATGCAATATATATGTTATTAATAATATTAGTGTTGGGTATCGGACGCAAGATTCACTATCGATAATCAGACCACCACAATCGATTGTCTGCCGATAGTATAATCGAGTTTCGCACTTATTATGGCCCTTTTTTCTTTTTAATGTACCAATCCTTGTATGTATTTTTTTTATACAGTAGTGACCACATTTTGAGAATAAATAGTATGATTTGCTCTTTGAATTCAAAACAAACAACACAAAGTAGTATATTAAACCATCCAAAATAGGTTTTGAATACAAAAATGACTTTAGGATGTCTGAAATTAAAGAGATTCGGATGGGAAATTTCTATTTGACCGCATGTGAAATAATCGATTTTTAAAAAGGACTATCGATTGTCGCCGATTTTG